CACCTCCTGCTCCGTCTTCCGGGTCATCGGGATACGCCGATTATAACCAGCAGGGCCAAAACAACAATAACCACAAGAATGAGAACACCGGCCACGGCCGTGGTCGTGGAGGTCCTCCCGGCGGTGGTCACCAGCGCCGCCACTCCCTTGCTCTTCCTGAGGCCAAGAAAGCCGCCGAGCTGGCCCAGCAAAAGAGAACAGCTTCGGGATTCCAGTTCCCAGCTCCTGCTCCTGGTGCAAGTGGTTCTGATAACCAGTCTTCGTCGGATGACAAGCCTGCAGCCAGTACTTCTCCGGCACCCCAAGGACCCCAGGGACCTGCCTTCCAACGGGCCGGAAACATGCGAGCTGGTGGCCACGGTCGTAGCCAATCGATGGCCATTGGTGGTAACCGGGCTTCCATCTCCGGTCGCGGTGCTGGCGGCTTCCAATTCCCTCAAGCCAGTGAGCCTTCAACCAATCAATCTGATAATCAACGGCGAGTCAGCCAGACCGGTCACGCTCGGTCTTCCTCGCGAAACTTCGAGGGCAACTGGCGCCAGCCCAACAACCAAGCCCAGAGCCAGGATCAGCAGAGGCCCGTGGGTCAGCAGCAGGGTGGGTTCCAGCCCGGCCACCGCTCCCGCGGCTCGATGAACCAGTCCATGGGCTCTATTGGTCAATTCCAGTATGGCGGCCAACTTCAGCTTGGCCAGCATCAGCTCATTCAACTTCCTCAGGGTCAAGTCATGATGGCACCTCAGCAGTTTGGCAATCAGCAACTGAATCCCCTCCAGTTGGCTCAGCTCCAAGCGCTTCAGCAGCAGAATGCCCAAGGTATGGGTGGTCTTCAGGCTAGCCAGCATGCCCCGCCGCAGATGTCTGTCCAACAGCAACAGCAGCAACAACAGCAGCGGAAGACCCTCTTCACTCCTTATCTTCCCCAGGCAAACCTTCCTGCACTCCTTAGCAATGGACAGTTGGTCGCTGGTGTTTTACGTGTCAACAAAAAGAACCGTTCCGATGCTTACGTGACCACAGACGATCTGGATGCCGACATTTTCATTTGCGGTAGTAAAGATCGCAATCGCGCCCTTGAGGGTGACTACGTCGCAATTGAACTTCTCGATGTCGACGAGGTGTGGGGTCAGAAGAAAGAAAAGGAGGAAAAGAAGAAGCGCAAGGATATCACTGATGCCCGCTCCAACAGCAATGCTGGAAATGACAAACTTGGTCGCTCCGATTCCACTGGCGATAGACAGGAAATTGGCCCGGATGGAAGCATCCGTCGCCGCGGTAGTCTTCGCCAGCGTCCTACCCAGAAGAAGAACGACGATGTCGAGGTCGAGGGCCAGAGCCTTCTACTATGTGAGGAGGATGAGATCAGCGACGAGCAGAAGCCTTTGTACGCCGGCCATGTTGTTGCGGTCATTGAGCGTGTTGCGGGTCAGATGTTCTCAGGAACTCTGGGTCTCTTGCGTCCCAGCAGCCAGGCTACAAAAGAGAAGCAGGAGGCCGAGCGGCAAGCCAGAGATGGCGCCCACGGCCGTTCCCACAATGACCGTCACCAGGACAAGCCAAAGATTGTCTGGTTCAAGCCCACTGACAAGCGTGTTCCACTTATCGCCATCCCCACAGAGCAGGCACCCCGGGACTTCGTTGAGAAGCACCAGGACTACGCCAACCGAATCTTTGTTGCTTCTATCAAGAGGTGGCCTATTACATCTCTGCACCCCTTCGGCACTCTCGTTGAGCAGCTTGGAGAGATGGGTGATTTGCGGGTTGAGACAGATGCCTTGCTCCGCGACAACAACTTCGGTTCAGATGACTTCTCCGATGCTGTGCTGAAGAGCATTGGCTGGGAGGACTGGTCCGTCTCTAGCGAGGGTGACGCGCTGGCTTCGCGACGTGATTTCCGTGAAGAGACCATCTTTACGATTGACCCCGCCGACAGCAAGTCCCTCGAGGATGCATTCCACGTGAAGAGCCTTGCCGATGGCAAGGTTGAGATCGGTGTCCACGTGGCCGATATTGCTCACTTCGTCAAGGGTAACTCTCTGGTGGACCGCGAGGCCAAGAAGCGTGGTACTGCAGTCTATTTGGTCGATCGAATCATGAACATGTTGCCTACCCGTGTTTCTACTGAGCTTTGCTCGCTCGTGCCTGGCGAAGATCGCCTCACAGTCAGTGTCGTATTCAAGGCCAACCCCGCCACCGGTGTGGTGGATGAGGATGTCTGGATCGGCAAAGGTGTCATCAAGAGCGCTGGCCGTCTTGACTACGACCAGGTCAATGCGCTTGTTCAGGGCAAGTCTGATGTCAACACCAGTGGCATCTCTGCGGACAGCATCCGCTTGTTGCACGTAAGTTGCTTCTGATATTACCATCCATCTTACTTTCTTCGCCCATACTAACAAAACCACCCAGAACACTGTCGGCAAGTTCCGCGAAGCCCGTTTCGGTAACCGCGTGTCAGATGTTCCTGTGCAGCGTCTACTTCAGCAGCTCGATGATGAGAATGTGCCAGTCGAATACAATATTTTCGAGTCAACCCCAGCACACGAACTTGTTGAGGAGCTGAGCCACCAGGCCAACTTCTTTGTTGCTCGTAAGCTTGTCAGCGCTATGCCAGAGAGAGCTTTCTTGCGTCGTCAGTTCCCGCCTAACTCTCGCCGTCTTACTTTATTTGTTGAGCGGATGAACCGCCTTGGCTTCGAAATGGACTCAAGCAGCAGTGGCAGCCTCCAGAGCGCTCTCTGCAAGGTGCAAGATGTCGATCTTCGCAAGGTAAGTGCCTCTCCTGTTGCTCTCGCCATTATAAATGCATATACTAAAACACGATACAGGGTATGGAGACTCTCATTGCCAAGGCCATGCAGCGTGCCAAGTACTATGTCAGCAATGGTACTCCCGATGAAATGCGCCAGCACTACATGCTCAACGTGCCGGTTTACACCCATTTCACCAACCCCTCTCGGCGCTACGCCGATATCCTGGTGCACCGTCAACTTGAGGCTGTGCTCTCCGAGGGTACCGTGGAGTTCAATGACGATATCGAGTCACTGAACAAGACTGCCGATCTTTGCAACAACAAGAAGGACTCGGCTCTCAACGCTCAGGAGCAGAGTGTGCACATTGAGGCCTGCCGTAAGATGGACCGCAAGAGTCGCGAGATTGGCGGTGATCTCATCAGCGAGGGTATTGTACTCTGCGTCTACGAGTCTGCCTTTGACGTCCTTATCCCGGAATACGGCTTTGAAAAGCGTGTGCACTGTGACCAGCTGCCGCTCAAGAAGGCTGAATACCGTAAGGACAGTCGTGTACTCGAGCTGTACTGGGAGAAGGGCGTTCCCTCGTCCGCATACATCCCCGAGGACGAGCGTCCCAAGCCCGGTAACTCCCGTGCTGCTCAGGCCGCAGCGGCTGCTCGCGAGGCCGAAGCCGCCAGAGAGCGGGCCAGAGAGCGTGATGAGGCCATGCGTAAGCAGACCGAGACCGGTACAATGTCTGCGGACGATGTCGACGCCCTCTTCGACGACGATGAAGATGTGGATGATGTCACTGAGATGGCAGCCGGTGTGTCGCTCAACTCCGCCGACCGTTCCACTCAGAGCATGCCCCCGTCGCCTACGCGCAACGGCCACCACCAGCAGGGGCCTCACCGTACTCGTTCGGACCCCAAGATTGCCTCCGGCAGTGGTGATGCACCCGAGAACAAATTGACCAACAAGGAGAAGTACTTGAACCTGTTCAAGCTGCGCGAAGTGGATGGAGAGTTCATCCAGGATGTCACCGAGATGACCCGTGTTCCCATCATCCTGAAGACCGATCTGAGCAAGAGTCCACCGTATGTATTCCCATTCAGCTTTCCCCCCTATAGCATGAGCGTTCCTAACTAACCCGATTTCCATTACAGATGCCTCACTGTTCGATCTGTCAACCCTTACGCCCTGTAGAGGTCTGAAACCCGACTCTGTTTTCTTCCATGGGATATATTTCATGCATGACCACCTTGCAGATTCTTCGCTCAAGCGGAGCATGCTGTTGTCTCGTGCACGCCTACGGACATAATCCAATCCCGGCGCGGATCGAACATATCATTATCGGCATATCTTTCCTTGGTTACGCTTTGTCTTGGTGGATTCATCCAATCCCATATTCTACTCATCATCTTTCCGACGTGTTCTGGGATTCTATACTTATCCTGTTATATGTGCAAAGCGGTTGTTTGTCTTTTTTTGAGCATTTTAGTTGAAAGCTGGGCAAATATCTTAGTGCCAGAGCTTAGCTTTCTTTCTGAGAATGGAAACTTGGCGGGAAGGACATTGCAGCTCGATAGTCCCAGAAAATCCTTCTATTAATCTATGTATCACTTATACTCCAGGACTCATCTGCGTAGGTAGCTGTACGTACCGTATTCCCTCTACTGGGGCTGGCGAATCCTAGCCGCTTTAGTGAAAGTATTTCGTTGACTTCGCAACTTTCCAAAGGCTGTATCAGCCTCCTACAGCACTGCGCTAATCACGTGTACTCACGTCAAATTAACATCTATTGATTTCTACCGAAATCCATTTGACTTAGGTCAGTTAGCACCCTATGCCAAGAATTCCCCTATCGGGTAATTATACCAGTCTCACAGTCTCGCCAAGACTGCTAGCGTGTTCTACGATATTAGGTAGGCGGTCAACTCTTGACCGCCCCTATTGAGATGGCAGAAACGCTACCAATACACACTCGGTATCTGAGCTAACCCCTTCTGGTGGGCTCATGCCTTATCCGGCCAATAGCCGGCGGTGTCTCCCGCTCTCTGCGGGGCCCTCTGTGTATCCAAAATTCCCCCAAAGGGGGAATAATCTTGAGTCTCAAGTCTCAAGCTTTTGCGCTTCAAGTTACAACTCACAGCCCGAATTCATAGTGAACCCGGCTTGGGTGTTAAATTTATAAATTCCCTTCCTCAACAGCGTAAATTCCATTCACTCGGATACAATTTTATTCTTAGAATTTCATAGACAATCTTCATAATGGCAACCTCTTCATTCAACTCTGTAGACTATCTGAGTCAAATTCGACAACGTGAGCAAAGCAATGAGAGTTTCTTTCAAGACTCCATGGTCACCCAATCGCCTAGCTCTACGGTCACAGAGCCATTTGCGTCCTCTATGAATGGCCTTTTCTACCCTTCGATGCTGACCCAGCATTATCCCGCGCCGCCTGGTCCCAACTTCTCCACTTCCTCCTCTATACCTCCTCCCAATGTGAACTACTTGGGCCAAAATCCTACGCAGTATCCGTCAACTCAGCTGCACAGTGCCACTGAATCTTTGGCTGTAGATTATCTCAGTCCAGGCCAAAACACCGCGTGGACGCCGCCATCGGCATCTACTACCTCTGTGCAAAAAACACCGGCACCAAATGGTAACGTTGATATTACCCAGAAGTAATCGACCTCTGGTCGGTCCCGAGTAACTAAACAAGAGTACGACATCTCTTCTCGAATTTCGGATTATAGCATTAACAATTCTCTTCATTTCAGCGATTGCAACCCTTTCCGATGTGGTTGGAAGGACTGCAAGTACCGCGGCATCTTCAGTCGCAAGAATGTGCTGATGCGACATATCGACACGCGGCATGTCAGTCTACAATCCTTCCATTGCCCGAGATGTACCAACTCTTTTAATCGAAAGGATAATATGAGGGAGCATTTGGGGAGGGTTCATTGGGAACATAGCTGAGATCGATGTAGGACGGAAATTAGGGTTAGGTTTCGGGTGTTGGGCGGGAATGTCTTTTTGGGAGTTTTAGTAGCGAATTGATTTAATAGACAGCTTTTCATCAATGATTACCTGCGACTTTTCAGATATTAATATATCTAGTTAAAGCATTTTGATCTTGATGCCACAGTCAGAGGCGTACAATCATGAGAGTTATTCAATCCAGGGCAACGGGGCAGTCATCAAACTATCGCTAAAGTGTAAGCTCGACCTAGGATGTAGGAGCCATTGTTGAGTGTATTAGTATCGACCCTTCATTTCAGCGTTGCTCAACTCTTGCTAGAGACATAGCTCACAGTTGCTATATCTAGACACGAATGGATTGTGTCGCTGTCTTTCTCGGGAATTACAGTAACTACACGTAACTTTGGAATAATACCAAGAAAACTAAGTAGCGTTATGTGATTTCTCAAAGAGATACCTAGAAAGGAAATGAGACAAATGTTGTCAAAGCCAACGCAAATGGTAACCCCGGGGCAACACTGCCCAGCCTGGCATGTTGCCAATGCAATGTAATGGAACCAGTTCCATACAGTTCTCCTCGCTCCTCGCTCCATGCAGTTTGTAAGTCCGGTTGAATTCAACCGACCATCAAGGGTATCAAGAAATGTCGCTAACGGGGGGTAGGGGTAAGGGGTAGTGAAATGGGTGTAGATAGAGGGAGAGCAAAAGAAAAAAACAAAAATGAACGAAAGAATCAGTTCGACTCAGATCAATCGTTGGTTGTTTTCCCCAACTATCAAAATGAATCGAAGGTCTGAAAATGCAACTCAAGAAGAATCCACCAATATGATGTCAAGTTCCAGATAAATTGACGGATTTTTCATAGCCGACGAATGCCAATGCGCGGCTTTGCCCTGACGGCAAGCCGCTTGTGGTGGCCACTCATGTTTTTCTTCTTGGAGATTCCAGAATTGGGGGAGGCTGAGAGAGATGACGAGGAAAGTGATGGGGTGGGTAGTTGAGCATGTGCTGGAGAAGGTGGAGCAGAGCCATTGAGTGTCTTCATGGGATGGTATTCGCGCTTCTCTTTCAAACCGCGCGCAGTTGCAGATCCACGGTTCTCTTTGCCATCCCCGCTCAGCCGACGTAGGGGGTCTTGCATGGGCAGCTGGGGCAAATCTTCAAAGATTGGCATTTCATCGCGGAGGCGGCCGGAGGCGTTAACTCCTCCACAGAGTAGGGAGAGCTTGGGTGTTTTCCGTAGTGGTGATGAGGTACGGGAACGTGTGTTTGCGGTGATGTTTCGTTCATTCGAGGTCATGGCGGGAGTATCGTTGTCGTTGTCGGAGTCGATGAGCATCATGTCTGCATCATCTTCGGGATAGGGAAGTGAGAGGACGGACAGTGGGCGTTTTCCCAAGGCAGTTTTACGAGGACTTGGGGGAGCAAGGTAGACTGGAGAAGGGGAAAGAGTTGGGTTGTTTTCTTTGCTTGCACTAGCGGGGTCGTCGTTTTCACTGTCGCTCATGACGTCGTCTGTCATGGCTGGGGAGGGCTGGGCGAAAGGATTTGAGGAGGATTCTGAGGGATACGACTGTGATGGCTGCTCGAATGCAGTGGTGTTGCGAGTAGTTTTCTTGATTGTGGCGGTGTGGGTGCGGGCTTGTTTTCGCGGGCGTTGAATGATTGCGTCGTCTTCTTTCTGCTCAACTGCGGTCCCTGCCTCTTCGCCGCGGAGTTTTGCTTCGGTCACTGCACCTTTGAGGTTGGGCGGGATCGGGGCGTGGATTGAAGTCATGAGCTTGGCTTGGTGTGCGAAGGCGGCGTAGTTCTCTTGCATGAGAGCGCCTGCAGAAGCGTTGAGTGCCGAGTCAGGATTGGGGTAGATAAGCAGGCATGAGATTGTCTAGATAGAAACAAATGATGTTGTTAGTTATCTGCAGAAACTCATTGCGCTAGAGCGGTCTCAATTCAACTTACCACCAACACATCGCGGAGGGTTAAATTCGGCTGCCAATCCCGCTTAAGCGTATCTACACAGACAGCTCCAGTGAGCTCCTCCATGTTCGGATGCCATATCCTCGTTTTAAATGTAGCTTTCGGGGGGCTCTTCGGGTAATCATCGGGCATCTTGAGATGGAGCTCCCATAATCCTCGCGAAAAAGGTGTGCCCGCTGGGCCCGTGAGGAGAATTGTCAGCTGTGACAGGTCGTCACCGTCCGAGGGCTGTAAGTAGTACGGCGGAAGATCGCGGTGTAAGGCAGCATGGTCGGCAGCTAGCCGGCGCAAGTTGGACGGCTAGATATCCATGTCAGATACAGAGCACGAGGATATATTGGTTGCTGGGGAACCAGTGTGTGTTAATGACTTGGAATATGGACTTACCATGCTGAAGCTTGAGGTAGGGTAATAAAATCTAGATCAGACTTGGAGAATGGAAATTCAAAAAATGATCCGGACCAGTGAGATCACAACAATCACAATCACAATGATAAGAGATGGTTACTTCGTCGACGGTTTGTTTTGAGTGGAGGTCGCACTAACCTTGTTGGTATCGCGTCAGTCACGTGATCTTTGTCGCGTAAGATGCGCGTAACTAATATTACCTCTTTAGGCCATATCCGAGACATCTATACATTCAATAATCATCCCTTATTCCTCTATCTAACCAATTTCGGGACAGTTTTCTACAACTTCAATGCAACAATAGCTACCAGAAGCCAGAATGCGGCCAGTATGGTTGCCAATCCCCCAACCAGCAACATAGCCCAGAATGTGTACCATTGTAATGGATTCCGTCTATCACGCCACAGATCAGTCAACTTACTGGGTCTCTAGCGTGAACTAAATTGCTACATGTAGAGCTTGGTCAACTGTGGTCCGAGTCTTGGGAAGTCATCTGGGGCACTATACATGTCGCGTTCCTGGAGATTCCCTTTCATGGTCCGACAGGTGATTGGCTATATCTCGGACGGATCGCTCTGCAAGGTCTTATCAGAAGTCTTCCACCATAGACTACCGTGCTTATACTTCCGTTCGCAGAGATCTGAGAGCATCTCAACTCTTTGCATTGCGTACAAGTTCTTCTACCTGGAGATTCCTTCGCGTGCAACTTTTCTGGACTTGTCATCTTGTCCAAGCAGAAGACGGTAGGAAAAGATATCTCTTGCTCTAGACTGACACAACACTGGTCTTTATCCTCCGGGGACAAAGGCTCGAGTTGCTTGGAAATACTACCAAGAGTAAGCTGCAAATGACGCTAATAAGAATCAGTGTCATGATTGATATACCTTCGAATCGCCGGGCAAACGTTAGCTCCGTGGGTTGCAAGAAAGGTGCAGAATGTGGGAAAGCGAAAGAAGGACATTTAGCGATTAGCTGGGTTGAACCGTAGATGCTCGCTGATGGTATCGATTCATTGAATCGTGACATGCCCAGAGTAGCGGAGCGAGTACATGTTGAGGTTTGTCTCGTAGAGGCTGTCCGTTTCCCGGGGTCTCAACCCACCCTCCATAGCAGAAAGTCACGACTGGATTGCCAAACATAATTCTTTTTCTATGATCTTGAAAGTGAAACTAGTAATCATTAGCATCCGACAACAAATGGTCATCCTTAGAACCCCGCCTGACGCAGCTGAAACAAAGTCAGCCTTAGCCCAACAATTTGCATATAAAAGGGCCCTCCCAAGCTGATTCTCCAAACCCGTATACTCCTCTCTTCCATTCTGATTTTCTTCAAACTTCCGATAAGAGCTCCCCATCCTTAAAATGACCCAGTCAAAGAATCAAGTCATTTACGCGCCTTCAAAAGAAGCTCCTCGCGGCACAAAGTCCATCTTTCTCGCCGGTACCACCACCAGAGTCGACACCCACGACTGGCGCGAGCTTCTATCCACCGCTCTCTCCGACGTGCCTGTTACAATCTACAATCCGTACCGCGCTGATTGGGACAGCTCGTGGCGGGAGGATATCAATTTCACTCCATACCGCGAGCAGGTGGAGTGGGAACTTGAAAAGCAGGAGAAGGCCGACATTGTCATTGTTTACTTCCACCCAGCTACCCAGGCGCCGATCAGTTTGCTTGAGTTTGGACTCTGTGCCCGAGTACCTGAAAAGGCTATCGTTGCCTGTCCTGAGGGGTATTGGAAGAGGGGGAATGTGCAAATTGTGTGTAAGAGATATGGGGTTGAGATGGTAGATGATGTTGATGGGCTAAAAGAGGCGGTTGTGAAGAGGCTGTCTATTGGTTTGTGAATCGCTAAGCCTTTAAAGCGAGAAACTTGGCTTTGAAGATAACAGATTGATATAGAAATGGTGCATGGAACTGTCTCTTGTCACTATTAGCGTATGGTCCCATTTGAAAGAGACACATTAAGATCTTTTCATATTGTACTAGGATAAGCACTCTAGTAGACTTTGTGGGCCTTGCCATTGAGAGAATATTTGGACTGGGTATATGTGGTGTAATGCGTGCTTCTCTAGACAAAATCAGAATTCACCCACTTGTTAACGTGACTGAGTACGGAGGTCGCAGGATATGCATCACAACCCATGCCACTCACCCCTTCCAATAATTAAGATTTGCTTTTTGCTGCAAATATGAGCGAGGTATTGATCATATGAACTATCATGATAATGCTAAGAGAGATTTGGAATATCTAAATTACTGTACTTTGTGATGTATGAACGTCACAATGTCAAAGCATATTTATAATCACTATAGCCTCAATACATACGCAGGAAACCAAGACTCGTATTTACCCAGGGATAGATTAAGCTAATCACAAAGATGGAAGAAAAAAAGTTGGAAACAGGTGCGCCGTGAATATCTCCGAGTACAACGCAGTGAAACACAGTCCTGCCCAATGATAAAGAATTACAAATCCCATAGGAACCCTTGGAGGATAACAGCAAACCCCAAAATAACCGATACTCGCATTTTCATGTCCCTCATTCCCGTTAATCCAGAGACTGTATCAACATAACCAACCGACCACCAACCCCTCACCATCTAAAGAGACCGAAGTGGACATCACAGCACGATAGAAGACAGGAAGATTGGCATTGGCCAGTCACAGACTCGTGATGTGCTTACAGGAAAGCAACGAGAGCAGCACCCGCCATCATTCCGAGACCGACGGGACCAGCAGTGGCCATGGCAGCACCACCCGTAGAGGCAGAGCTGGAAGCAGCAGCAGATGAGCTGGCGCTAGAGCTGGAGGACTTGGAAGATTCGGATGAGTCAGAGGAGGAGCTAGTGGAGGTACCAGTAGCCTTGGAGTCGGCGGTATTGGTTCCGGTAGCAGAGTCGCTGCCAGACTTGCTAGAGGCAGTGGACAAAGTGCTGTGAGAAGCGCCGGGGCCGGCGACGGGTGAGGTCAGGCCAGCAGGGATGGAGGCGGCGGGCTGCTGCGAGGTCACGGCAGCGGCCTGGCTAGTGACAACGGTAGGCTGGGAAGTGACAACGGTGGGTTGGCCGGTCACGACGCCGAGGGAGTTGGTCTGGGTCAGGTACTGAGTGGCAGGGTTGTCAACAGTCTGGAGAGGTTAGCTGTTGTTTTCTTTTTGTGACATGTGATGTTTTGTTTCTGCTTACCTCGATACTGACACTGCTCTGGGCACTGGCCAGGGCGATGGCCGAGAGGGTAGTGAAGACGATGGAGAAACGCATTGTGATTAGAGATTATTGGTGAATTATTGTATTGAGAATGTGAAGAGAGAAATAAAAAAGAGATATTAAAAGAAAGGCTGGGGGAGGGGGGATTATAAGGTGTTGGTTGTCCAGGGAAACAAGTCTCATGTTGTAGACTGTTTATTGCATTAGACCAAAGTGGCTTTGCAAAGCCAGTCAGCGAACGGAGTCTGGATCTAGCGCTTGGGATCTGCAAGGTCTTGCAGTTCTATTTTGGTCTATTTCTGGGGTCACACCAAGCCCGTAAGCTCATGTATTTAATGTTATGTATGTATTGATGTACGAAGACATTTACCTATAGAATGCTACATGACAAATATATTCATCAAACATATACCTATAGAATGTGTGACTCTTATTGTCTAATAGAGATGAAATAGTTGGAATAGTTGGCAGACGGGATAGTGGCAATATGCACCAAACACTAACTAATTTAGCGTCTGAGCACTCTCCATTACTCCGTAATCACAACAAATATATAATAGAAATACTATACAAAGTAGACATGTCTCAATGTCAGAATTCAGTAGCCTAAAAGCTTACTTACCCTGTTAAGTGAAACATGCCCTTGACCGCGTGGAAGCATACGAATCTCTGAAGTCATCCAGTCCAGTTCGGTTCTTGATTTTCTCTCTCAATAGTATTTACTGTTAGTAATTAGTACTTGGGCCTCAAATGGCGCGATCCTACGTGTCTTGGGGCCAAGTCAAACCAGCCTCCCAAGTGAGACATCACCTTGTGCGGTTGTCACCCAATCAATTATGCCGAGCTCAGCCTTGTACTTTATTTCCTACAATATACGAAGCATTATACCGACTATTATTATATTAATGCAAGGATATATTCAGCTTTAAGATACAGATTCGACTACACAAATTATTTAGTACTTTCGCACTTTGGGCATCACAACCAGGGTGAACTAGACTCCTCAGATCAAAAGAATGTGGGTCTGCGACAAGTCAACGGCTTGGTTTACTCCAACTGATTCTATATTTATATTTTCTTTTTCCTGGGTCTTGACTAAAATAAAACTGAAATATCGAAGAGGGTCGACATACTATACCGTGCACCTTCGGGTTTAAGCTTGATCCCAGAACACTACAGTCTTTATTTTGACTAGGCATGTAGTACTGTTGACGTGCATATGGAGTAATTTCGTCGTACAGCTATATCATATAACGACCTACTACTCTGTATACAATATAGACTACATGCTATCCGGATATACCTGCAATTCACCTTGGTCTTCACTCACCTACTCATCACCAGATATGGAGTACCCGATACAGAATTGCGACAATCATGTCAGTGTGATCTTGCGTGCCGAAGCATTCTCAGCCGACTCTGAAATAAGCTCGCCTTTCGCTACCGTGCAGGCATCCTCCTTACTCATTATTGGCTGAGTCACAGCAATTTAGGACATGCTTTCAACTTATGGCCTAGACTACTCATCTGTATCGCCATCCTGCAGCGGTGTGGCGTAGGAATGCAAATCAAGTGCGCCAAAAGCGTCTATATATGGCAGTGATCCCAGGTCACAAGCAGCCGGGCAGGTCTACCGGTGGCATGTCTGTGCAACCTCTTGGTTGCCTCGAAAGTACTTGAGTTTGCCACCCCTGCCTCGCTGGCACGTGCCAGTAGTTATTATCCATCAGTACGCAGTACTCCGTACGGGGTACAAGGGCATCAGTTCCGGGTAAATATCATAACCAGCAACAAACTGAACATCTCAATTGAAAACTGAACTCCCTCGCCGCAATGCATATTATACAGCTCCCCCACTGCAGCACATAATCAAACTTAATGTCCAACAATCACTCCTTGATCAACACATCCTGACCGCGAACCCAGTTCGCAAACTCCTTTCGCTTAGCCTATGTGTTCCAAATGTTAGCTTCAGATATTCCTAGCCAAAAAACAATGATTGGTGTCCAGCAAGAAATGCACATCTTTAATAAATCCAAATCCAGATGTAGTTCCGGCAAGACACGCATCAAAGTAGATCCAAAACTCACCCGAATATCCCAGAATCCGTAGCGCTCCTCCAGACTCAGGTACGGGTTGCGCGCTCCGCCATCCCGTTCAATTTCGCCAGCCCATTCGCGCCAGCTGATAGGCTTCAACTTCTGCGCGCTCAGGACCAGTCCGATGGAAACAATTAGTACGGAAACGAGGGTCTCGATGATAATGTCTTGTGGGAGGGCGGTGGATGTGTTGTTGCTGTAAAGGACAGTGTGTTCGTGGGCCGAGTAGCCTCTGCAGAAGGGGCTATTAGCTTTGCTCGAGAGGAAGTAGACAAAGGTATTGAGCAGATGGGTTAGAGAACTTACGCATGGGCTATGAGGACGAGGCCGAAGAAAACCACCACGCGGGAGAGGAAGCTCATGATGGGTGGTGAGGTTGGTTTTGGGTTGCGGGTTAAGGTTCGGTGATTAGGTCCGGTCGCTGCGGATTTTTCGTATCGGTGAATAATTTTAGATGGTTTCCACTGGATTATTGGGGTTCAGATGAAGCCTGTGGTCCCTGGCTGTGGACGGTGGTGTGGTGCCGTTTGATACGTTGGCGGGAGGTTCATGGAGGCCCCGGCCTCCATCCCGCGGTTTACCTAATCAGCTTTTCACTGCCCAGGTGGCTCAGATTTCATCACATTTGTTGCATTTGTTGATACTGCTATTGAAAATGATTCATGACTCTGTCTCCACGGGGTCTATACTACCTAACAGGAGGAATATCTCCCGGACTATCTAATCGGTGAACCTTCATTCATTCCTTGCGATATCAAACCCGAAACTGGATCCCGGGAGACTACCCCGTCATCAACGAGCATTCCGGGGTCAATTGATGAAATAAACCGATATTTGGCCGACTATCAGCGAATTTTCCTAGATACTTCCTTTTGGTGAATTCTGCAATGCTAATGGGCAACACACACTAGATCATCCCCTGAACGAAGGGGTTGCACTGTTCAACTCTGCTGTCCAACCCCGACCTTCTTCGGCAACCTCTGTGATAGCCAAACAGCTTTGATTTGTCTGCAGGCTCTATCAGCTTCGGTAGATACATGCATAGCTCAAAATCTAGCCACGCAGATAGAAAATATGGTTCAAGAAAGAGAGGGGAAACACGTTTAATAGCACATTGTAAGACTGGCCAGCCGGTCTGGAACTAGGAACATCAAGATCGAGGCATTCTCAGTTACCCAGTCCATACTGTATATGGCATTCTTATCCATGAAATGAGCCGTGGAGAATAAACATAAAGAGTATATCTCTCAGACGCTTATGATAATTTTTCTCCAGCAATCAAATTCTAGCACTGATTCTTTTCACGTCTTATATCATGTCCATGACCCTTTGGCCTCTTGACATGGCACAATCACAAAGCGATATATATCTAAATTGTTCTCATTTTCCTGACGGTCAGGGTGGGCAGACCACAGAGCCGGCGTCTCGATATAAAGACCCTCCCAATACTCCAATCCCCCGACTTGTACAGTCGGTCACACTCGATGCTGATCAGCTAGAGCAGCTGCTTTCCGGGGTTATCAGCAGAATACAGCATCTCGATTCGCCTTCTTCTCTGCGATCGGCACCGAAAATCACATCTGGTAAGTATGACCATTGATATTAAGACCAAAATATGGTATATCTGGCTAATGCTTGGCAAAATAGGACAAAGAATCGAGGTCTAAATCAGAACCGGGCAATTCTTTCGGCTTTCTTGGTTACTCGATCCGGATCTGCTATGTACGTACCGAAGGGGCGGTGGAAATATATATCGGGAGACAAAGAAAAGAAATTGTCAACCGCCCTGTAATTGGTACAAACGAGTCTTCAATGCAGTCTAGAGCTTCGTCTTTGTGAATGCAGAATATATATATGTAGGTACTACTCAGGTATCTGGAGTTGAACCTTTTCGTGAAGTAGTCAAATCGCAGTCATCCACAGGAAGAGAATGACGAGACAGCGACGTCAACAGGAACAATAAGTGACTATATACGGAGTAGACTATGTAGACCATGTACATAATAAGTGTGATTGATTTTCCGAGAAGATTGATTGGTTAAAAGCTAGATATTGAGTGTTGATATACGACATCTGTCTGATAAAAACTCTGCAGAGCAATTACCACCCCCTACCCTGTATTCGACAAGTTAAGAGGACATAGGGCATATAGAGCTTGATTTTAATCATTTACGGGCACACACATGGGAAATTTATACTGGATATAGAATTGGTCATGAATTTTTTAAAATTTTTCATCAATGACCGGTCACTACTGGACCAGCTTTCTAGTTGGACTAGGTTCGTAAAGGATTCCTTTGACATCACACATTTCCATCACACAATTCCTGCTTCATAAATGGGCATCGCAAATTTACAGCTTCTGCATGGCAGCGATGTCAGTGGACTGGACGTGGTCCTCATCCTCCTCGATCGTCTGCTGGAGCTCATCGGTGGAGACCTTCTCATCCTCAACGACAAGGTTGATCTGGAGCTTCTTGATACCGAAGCCGACGGCAACCAACTTAGAGGCACCCCAGACGAGGCCGTCCCACTCAATGGCGCGGACGTTGGCCTCCATCTCGGCAAGGTCGGTCTCATCATCTGGAAATGATCGTTAGCATTTGAAATACAAAAGGAAGACTGGAAAATACATACCCCAGGGCTTGACCTCAAGGGTGACGAGGGACTTAGCGGCGGGCTTGGTCTTGCCGGCCTTCTTGGCCTTGTACTCCTCGAGACGCTTGTTGCGCTCAGCAACGACCGCGGGGTCCTCCTCCTCATCGGAGTCGGAGCCGAAGAGATCATCCTCATCATCCTCCTCGGGCTTGTCCTTGGGGTTGGAGGGAAGAGCGTGGGTCTCAGGGCCGTAGGCAGTGAAAGCCGCGGAGGAGTCACCGGGGAGGGTGGAGAATTCGCTCTCGTAAGAAGCGATGTGCTTGTACCAGCGGGCAACGTGGGGGTACTTGGCAGCGT